CGGACCCACTCGAACACACATCCCATGCACAATTATTACGTGATTTAGGTGGTGGCCCCACAGCCCGGAAGAATGCGGCAAAGATGGGTAAAGCACGGGTGCATGCCAGCATGGGGCCTTATGCGTCAATATGGTTGACAACTTGCCCTACCACGCCAAGCTTAGTTATGGAGAACGCACAAATACTCTGCGCAGTTCGGCGTCGGCTGGGGATTGCAGTACTATTCGAAGGGAGGGACCCCCATGGGCACGCAACAATGACAACAAATCACAATGGGAGGCTTAACAGTCGGCATCAACAAGTGGTGGCAGCATGGAGGCAAGTGTTCACCGAAGCAGGGGCTCTGATCCCTGACAGAAACGTGGAACGCCTGCTGGCAAATACCCACATCCCTACTTCATCCAACGATTTGCGACGATTGGATTTGGTGGTGCCGGGACTGCGTGTGGAACGCGGACTGCCTCTCTTTTGTGACGTAACCGTGGTGTCACCAATCAGTGGTACTGGAGCGCCCAGGGGGGGAACAAGCAACCAAGCAGGCCGGCTTTTAGACAATGCGGAACACGACAATAACATTACGTATGCCGACGTGATATCCTCCGGACTTGGCTCACTGCAATGCTTGGGTGTCGAAGTATATGGCAGATGGGGACGACAATGCGTATCGCTAGTCCCTGCATTGGCGCGGGAACGTTGTCGAGATTTACCCGGCGCTATACGACGGGGTACGGCTTTGGGATTGTTGCATCGGTGGTGGGGGATGTTGGGGATGGCCGTGCAAAGGTCAGTAGCAGACATGTGCCACCATACTTACACGGACCTTCCCCCTACGCACTTGGAGCCATCCAACCTCGACGACTTGGAAGTCTTGTGATCGCGAGCCTGACTGCCTCCCGGGCAGTCCCCTTCCCGTTCCTCCTCCTCCTCCTCTTCCTCCTTTGACGCTGCTTTGCTGCGTCCTCCTACTCGCTGGGTTTCACCCACGTTCGGTTTTCGAGCGTGCACTTCCGAGGAGCTCGCGGCGACAGAGTGGGTGCTGGCACGCGGGTATAAAAAAAAATGAAAAAGAAGACCAAACCACCTCTAAAGTATAAGTTGGAGTCGGCGAGTACGCAGGCTTCTGAGGGGTATGGGCTAAATCGCCTCCTGGCGTTGCAAAGGGAGCCTCAAAACGCACCACCACCAGCGTTACAATCGCTGTGCGGCCCCACGGATTCGCCTGTGCAAATCCCGAAACGGCTGAGCAGCACGGGTACACGTTGTGTTCCCCATCTGCCGTATATTTCCGCTCCCAAGCGCTGCAGACTACCTAGCCCGTTCGAAATTTCTTGGTTTTCCCCGTAATAAAATTCACCACTCCCCATCACAAAATAATGGTAATCTTTTATCCGCATTGTTGCACGTTACCAAAATTGCAGCCCGACCCGGATCATCAAATCGGACAGGGATGTTCGTAGTATTGAAAAACCGTTTCATGTTGCGATCTGGGACTTGCCCCGCAGATTTCTGAACACGTACTTCCGTATAGCCATCAAATACGCGCCCTTTCCGACGGAAACGGCATAAGTCCGAACACTAGGCAGTGCAAGGTCACGTAATCATTTCGCATGTGCAATTTTCTCGATAGTAAGTGACGCGTGGTATTGCCAGCCGTGTTGCTATTCTCCCAGGACAATTTCTACCAAATTTGGTTGTGGGTCGAACCCAGCTATTCCGGACCCATGCGGCCACTGGATTCTTGGAGAAGCATTTGCAAATCATTTCCCGGAATCTAGTGCAACGTTGGAATAACATTGCGTACTCAATAAAATCGTATCTTTTTTGGCACGATATAACACGATTTAACATAATAGTACCGCCCACATCCGTCACCCACGGTACATCATTCACACCTTTCGTGGCCCACTATTTCAGCACATCAATCACACGTTTCGTAATCCATGCCTGCATTGCAGGCCTTGTCTGCTGTTTTTTACGTCAAAGCGCATAAATGTTTCACCCCGTGCAGCTTTGACCCATTTGCGTGCTCAAGGGGGGGAACTCCTCACATATTTTGTGGTTCCGTGGGGGGGGGGCACCGAAGACCCGAATGCCTCTTGCCATTTGCAGCACCTGCAAGAATTTCGATCCTCTCTTCACAGAGGTACGACGACATTCACATGTTAGGGCCGCAAAAAGAAACGTGCTCCAAACCAACCTTGTCACGAAATCACTTCGCAATAACATCACGGCGTCGGATGTCGGATCGCCGGATCCACTAGCTCGATCAAAATCAGCCGGATTTGCCGGGCCAACTGTCCTCTACACCGCGGGTCCCCAACTACCGGACCAAATTGGCGCGCCACCAATTATTCTTTATTATTTGTTGGTTTTTGGGTGTCCTACGCGTTTTTTTTTTTTTTTTTTTTTTTTTTTTTTTCTTCCTCTCCAAATAATCGCGCAAAGAAGCGTCAAGTAACTGCGTACGTGCGAAATCAAACAAACGAACAAACATGTAAACATTGGAAACATAAGCAACACAACATTCAAAGATGGTGCATCGGCATAGTTCGCCAAATCTTTTAACTTCCGCGAAGATCCCTCAGTGCAGTTAATTGCTTGGGGCGTCCAAACCATTTGCGTATGCATTTAACGTGTCGTCTGCTTTTTGTCGTCGTCCTCCTCCCCTTTGCGTCCTCTCGGCGCGCCTTTGGCGTGGATGGCTGGGCATGCATTCAGCATGCAATCGTCTATTCTTACACGCGCCTTTGGCGTGTCGCCTTTTTTTTCATTGCCCACGCGCGTTTGGCGTATGGCTGCTTCGTTTGTGCCTGGCAGCGCTTGATGGCGACGATGAGTAGATTACGCCTTCAAATTCGCCCTGTTGCTCTCTGCCAATGTGTATGTTCGAGAAATTTGCACGCGCAGCTTTGCAACGATGTGTGTTTCCTGCCCTCTTGTGCAAATTCTTGTTATCAACTTGAACTTGCATCACTTAAAGCCCTGGCTAACTCGATTCCTTAACAACTTTGCGAATAACGATGTCGATGCGGTGGGGTTATTGCCTGGATTGTCACTGCAAAGTGCCTATGTGGAAACAGAATTTTCGAATCTTCCACAATTTGAGCAACTTCGAGTCGACAACTTCCACACGCGCTCCTGAGCTTTCCAATAAAGACGAATCTCACGCGATGTAGCCACATATTCGGACAATAGTTTGCAAGCTCGTGTGGGTAAAAAAGAACATGAGACGGAAGGAGTGGGCGAGTGAGGAGGCTGAAGAGGGTGAAACAAAAAAGAGGAGGGAAAGTGGAACATAAAGAAGCATGAGGGAATGGGAATACGGGGTGCAGAGAGGAGTGAGAGAGGAGGAGTGTCAGGCTGAGGATAAACATGCTCCAAAGGCAAAGGACAGTAGAGGAGGAGGAGGAGGAGTGACGATGGTGCTTACTGGACTATCGATGGTGCGAGCATGCAACGGCTACGTTTGGCTCCATCTCTTGTCCTACCTGCAGCTGGCGTATAGCGACACGGGGTGCAGCGGGAGTGGGGACAGGGCCCAACAACAAGCTGCAGACATAAACATTAAAACTCTCGCAAATAGGACGTTTTCTTTGTTGATCGGCACTGACCCTACGCCCCACACACGCGCCAGGAGCGGCGCCGCCAGAGAGCGCCGGCACAAGGGCCACACGCCGATCCAGGAAATTCCGCGCGGAGCCTCCGAAAGTCTGGGTGGGCAAGGCTCGAGTAGGGCGGGGGGGGTCGGGTCTGCAGACCACCCCAAACAGACGTCAAGGGGCGCAACCAACCTGTTCGGTCAATCTGAAATTGATGCACCACACCCGGCGTCAAGCCAAAACTTTGGACATACGCGAATAGTTGGACGTTGCCGACGTTCGTCTGCTTAACCAGCAAGGCGTTTGCCCACCTCGACGTCAATTGTTTGATGGTCCTGTAGTGGAAGGCGTTCTCTGACCCTCGGCCCTGCTCAAGGCAAGGCCCACCGCCGACCCCACATCGGGACGCCGCACCAACGCAAAACTCGAGCTTCTGGGCAAGAGTGTCGTCGTCGTCCGTCGTTCGTCGTCGTCCGTCCGTCGTTCGTCGTCATCGTCGTCGTCGTCGTCGTCGTCGTCGTCGTCGTCGTCGTCGTCGTCCTCGTCGTCGTCCTCGTCCTCGTCGTCGTCGTCGTCGTCGTGTCCGTCGTTCGACGTTCGTCGTTTGTCGTCGTCGTCGTCGTCGTTGCCGCCGCCGCCGCCGTCCATCCGTCCATTTGCTCCATGATCGCTTCAAGCACGGCCTCGCGCGAAGACGACGAGGACGACGCGGAGGTGGAAGGGCAGGACGGGGAGTCGGGAGACCAGAGCCCCCGAAGCCAGGACATTGCCGAACAGGACATTGAAAGTCCACCTGGGGGAACGGGCAATAGAGAATGCTTCTACTCGGGCGCACCAATGTCCTGGTTTACCTGGGTCCCTGGTTAACGGGCTATGAGGAGATAAGGACGCGGCCGCGAGCCGGGGAGACCGAGGAACAAAAAACAGCATAAGCATGGTTCCTCGGAAGTCCGCGGACTTTTTTAATCGGCGTTGGGCCCGTCTCCCTGGCGCGCGGAACGCGCCAGGAGCGGCGCACGAGGCGCCGCCAAGGGTGCCCAAGGCCGATCCAAAGAATCCGCGCGGACCTCAAAGAAACTATGTCGATGCCGATTCTTGTCATTCGAGGAGTCGGTGACGACATCCGAACCCGACCCCCACCAACCACCCATTCTTTTCTGATGAGGGGCAGGGGTCGGGCCTCGATTTCGCCACGTCTGCGACGAACTCCGAACCCTATCCCCGCCGTCGGACTCGCCTCGGCAGCTCCGCCCATGCGGATGGCCACGGGGGCTTCCGGGAGCCCCCCAGACACTCCGAAAGCACTCGACAGAGTTGATCGGCGAGAATGCGGCTCGGATTTCGACGTCGGAAGATGGCACCACCTGGAACCGCTTTTGCGAATCGCTCGCTCTTGGCCCATGCCTGTTGGCAGTGACGGGTCTCTGGATGCAGCGCCCACGGTCGGGGCCGTCGGCGCGCAGGAGGCGGCCCGGCGGGGCTTCGCTCGCTCGCTCGCTCCTGCCTCGCCGCCCCTCTGGCTATCCCCTCTTCTTCCTCCTCCCCCTCCTCCCCCTCCTCCTCCATTTCCCCTTTTGGCCTCCTCCCTTCTTTCCTTCCCGTTTCCTGCCCTCCTCTTCGTCTTCTTCCTCCTGCTTTTCCGCCTGGGGATTCGGCAAGGGGCCTTTTGCCGAGTAGGCAAATAATGCTTGAGCCAAAAGAGCGCCATGTCCGGAGAAGACGCTGCATGACACTTCCCTGCTAGCTGCTCCGCGCCGCATACTGAACTGGTGCGCCCTTCTTACCCAATCGTAGCGCTATGTGCAAACACATCCTCTTGGGCGGATGAAGCGCCAGGGGGATGGGACACAAGCGTCATGGATGACAAGTAGCTATGAATATTTCTGGCGTGGGCATGTAAACGGTAGGACAGCGAACACTTACGATTGTGATAGCAGCTGCTATAACACGCAATCGTAACTGGCCCATGCAAACAGTTACGATGGTTTGGGCGTGCGCGTGCAGGGGCCTCCTAACATTCGGCACATCATTTGGACATGTCGCAAAACACCAAGTCGTGCATCATAGTTGGCGTAAAAACTTTCTGAAACGCGCGCGCACGAGCGAGCACCTGCATCTCAACTGATCCTGAGGTGAAACCTACAGCAAAACGGCAAGCGATGATAAACCCGAACTTTCTCATTCGAAACAATCGAAATCAACATCGCAATTCGAGGCAGTGACACCATCTCCGTGCCCTGCTAACCACACTCGCCTTGTCCCATGTATTAAATCACGCGGTGATGCCTTTTCGCCGCCAGCGCCAATGTCGCATGCGAGGTCCACGCGGCAATCTTCCCAATTCCTGGCGGCGTCCTGGGCGCCGCGCGTTGACCATAACCGTGTCCCGCATTTGCATGGTTCGCGACCTTCTCCGGGCAACTGGATGAAGATGTCCATCTTGACCTCGGCCTAGAATATTTCCGCCTGGCGTCGCTCGCCCCATCTTGATTTTGTTAAGACCTCATGTTTGCTGAATTGCTCTATCCCCCCCCAAGCGCGTGAATTCTGGGTCAAACTCGCTCCCCGCTGCGTCGTCCCAAGCCTGGGCTGTGCCATTCTCGCGGCGAATTACGCGTGTCCTCCAATTGCCTGGTTGCGCTGCATCGCCGCTTCCACGTGGCCTGCGCAGTCCCGGCGTCAGTAATCGCGCGCCCCCGGTAATCATAAGGTCGGGATGATAAAATTCGGGGTTCCAGCGGGATAATGCACTTTCCCCGGCAGGACAGAACGCCGGGGGGGGGGGCAAGTGGGGGAACGGCGGGCGGAATCTTTCAAATGTTTCGGATGCGCGGAACGTCTCGCGGCATAACGATACCGCGCCCGCCCCTGACGGGCCTCCCTGGAGGGGCGGGGGGAGTGGGGGTCCAGCGCAAAACAATGGCGCAGCGATGACGTGCTCGCTCGTGCGTGGCCCCCCTGGTGGGGGGGGCGTGAATCGTCGGAAATCTTGTGGTATAGAGATGCCATGCTCGCGCGGGCGGGGCATCCCTGGGGGTCGGAGGGGGGGGGGGGGGGGTGCAGGATTGCTCGCTGAAGCGGGGCCTCTCACGGGGGGTGGGGGGGGGAGTGAGGGCCCCGAGAAATGCGATGATCTACGGATGCTCTGCTCGCACTGGCGGGGCCTCCCTGGGGAGGTGGGAAGGGGTTGGGATCCTGAGAAGTAATATGGCACTATGGTGTAGTGATGCCCTGCTCGCTGCGGCGGGGCCTCCCTGGAGGGGCGGGAGGCGTTGGAACCCTTGGGAATGCTGCGCTCTGAGGGCTCATTTTGTTGTCTTGGTGACGATGATGGCGGTGTCGATGGTAAGCATAATGGGAAGCTCCGATCTACGACGCATGTATCCCCCGGCGATGATGAAATTCGGCCCCGCCGCTCTCCGCCGCAGACCGCAACTGTCCTGGCCGGGGATGATCGTGGGGGTCGTGGGAGGAGCCCGGAGGGGTATGCCATGCTGTCCAGGGCATGCGGTTGACCGGCCCCGCATATTCACTGATGTGGCTAGGTGTCCTGGGTAAGCCGGTGGGTTATCGGGTGGCGATATTGCGCGTGCGTCCCCAGAACTCTCTCCTCCGCTCTTGTCCCTTGACTTCGTTATATCCTTGCTGTCCTCGAATACTTGACTGGCGTCAAGTCTCGGGTGATCCCGCGCACGCGCATGGATTCCAAATTGCCCTGAACTTCCTGGCAGCACGATGCGAGAATAACTGCAATCCAGTCCAAGCAATGTTAACACAGGCCCATTGCCCCACCCGTGTCGTTGATGCCCAATCTTACTAACTTCCATACTTTCGTCCTGTCCTGTTCACGCCCATTGACCTCGGAATCGCTGGCCCTGAATGTGCGCCCAAGTCGGACATCGGCCACCATCTGGCACAGCGGGTCTGCAAGTGCTGCTCGACAGAGTCGGTGCAGATATACCGGTTTCTTCGCGAATTTCTTCTCGCCTTCTTGCGCGCGCTATGAATCATGCGGCCCAAATCGCCATCGAATGTCTGCGCGACACTCGGGCTTTGACATCCTCGAAGTCGGCGATGAGGTCCAGTTTGGGGCACCCGCGAGGTGTTCAAAGAGAGAACGTAGCCCGTAGACTATTTGGATATAGTGTAGTTCCAGCGCGAATTTGCGGCGTGAGACCTCGTAGTCTAACAATTTCTTCATCTTCTCTGGTTCCCAGCGTTTCGACTTGAATCACTGTGGCTCGTTAAAGGCTGCGCGCCTTGAACCGGCGATTGCTACTGAGGCCGCTTCGTTGTTGATGATATTTTTCGCTTTCGCTTGCTCTGTCTCTCGCAATTAACATGCCAGGGGTTACCATATTCATGGCATGTAATTAAGTTCGTAGCTAACCCTAGCATGAACCTCAATCTCCTCGCCATACCAGCACACCGCGCCGGTGAGTAGACCTAAACAACATGCGTTTGCACCTCGCGATGGCATTGCCGCGTGGCCTCGGTGCCCCTCCGATGTCATGGACTGTTAAATGACATCTGACATCGGCACTGAATATCAACTCCGCAAATTCGGTGTCAAGCCCCATCGTGCTTAATCCAATGCGTGGGTGAACCGTGCTCGTGTCATCCTGTCTGCGAACTCGGACTTTGTGTCATTCATCTTCTCGTCGTCCGGCTCCATGCTAACCTCGACCTCGAGGCCCTCACTCAGCATCTCATCATCATCATCTCCTTTCTCTAGCTTCTCTGGCCCTCTCATCGTCGCCGGATTCCTCCGACTGTCTCTTTGCCACCGTTGACCCTGGTGAAATAACGTTGGCTGTCGCGCGTCGTCGTCGCCTCCAGAGAGCGCGGTGACAGCGATCTACCCCGTCCAAGGCCCTCGTAGCTCCCTCTCACCTCTGCCGTTCCAATCGTCGGTCGCTTCCTCCGTGTCGCCTGTGTCCGGATAGATTGCGATGGGGGGGGGGGGGGGGGGGGGGCGCGGGGCTCGGGCGCGGGGAACTTGAGCTGGCCAGACGGGGCCATCGTTGAATTGGCGAGACCCAGTCTGGAATTTGACGCGAGCTCCCGCTGCGAAGACCCACGAAAACGGGGCCGTCAAAATCCTGGACGCGCTCGTCAACAACAACGTCGTCGAACCCGAGCCCCAGGATACTCGAGTCTTATGTTTCCCCGATGCATGCGTTCGCATATCGTCGCATAGCCGTTGGGAATTTTCTCGCGTGTCCCTTGGCGCGTGAATGGTCGCTAGAGGTCCGCGGTGTTGCCGAATGACGAACCTGTCGTTGCGCGCCCGCGTGCTTCTCCCTGATCTTGTCATGTCTGGTGCTGTCAGACTCCGTCCTCATTTGGGCCGCCGCTGGCTGGTCCTGAATATTCGGGCCTTCGCGCCCTGTAAGCCGCCCGCTGACTCTTTCGCGACATTCTCGGCTATGCGGCCCATGCGCGGCGTCGCCGCTGATGTCATCTCTGCGGCCGTGGCGCCCTGGCGTCGGCCCCGTAAGCGTGCTCTCCGACTTCTTTGCGTCGATCCCCCTGGCCGCCGTGGACCTGGCGTCGGCGGTCGTGTCCTGGCGGGGCGCCGCCGTCGCAACGTCGCCCTGGCTTTTAACGCCCAGTCCGCATGCGTTAGGATCTAGTTACCCGGGCAACCCTGTCACAGAGGTAACTTCTTCCGGCTCCTCCCCCCCCTCGCTTCCCCCGTTCCTGAGCTCGTCAGATTTGCAGGGCCCGTCGGGGGTGCTGGTGCTTAGCTCCTGGCTTGCTTCGTGCGCTCGAAAGCATGCTCCGCTCTCCCATTCTGCGTTGACGTCGTTGCTTCCCTTTTCAGGGTGAGATGCAGGGCGCGTTCCCCGAGCTCGGGCAACGCCTGGTAGAATGCGCGCCCCCGGCGCCTGCGATGAACTTGTCGACGGGGGCAGATGCGCAGGTAGCTGTCCCGAACGCAACAGTTTGCTCGTCGTCCAAAACGCCCCTTAACGCCCTGGTTTGACCTTTATAATTATTACCGCCCTGTCGACTTCGCCTGTTGTTTGAGACTCTCCGACGGGGCTGACCTCCACTCCTAAGTCCAGGTCGCGCGAGGCTATGGCGGCCTCCGCGAGTGCAGCGACGGGTGAACCACCATCGATTTTCTGGACTGCCCCCTGGTGACAGGCTACTTTGATAGAGAAAAGATCGGCTGTTTCACGCGCGTGGCGCGGCTCTAGGTTGATCCGATATCCGGGCGACGCGTGACTACAACGGGTTTCCTTTTCCATCCGCTTCGCCCGGCCGCATTGCCGCGCGTGGTCGACTGAGATTGCAGATGCTCCATGCCGCCATGAGGCCATCCCCCGTTTGCGCGCTCTCTCCCGCGCGCCCCCTCTGACGCGGCGGGGGCGCCGACTCCGATGCAGTCGGGCCTTGTCGCGGGGGTGCGCGATGAGGGCGCGAGGGCTGCGGGCGCCCG